GCCACCCCCTATGACTAAACTATGCGTGCATTTGAATATACTCGACCCCATTATCCACCAACCAGAATTGCCTAAAGGACCACCTAAAAAACCGACTACAATGACTCAAGTGCTGACAAAAGGCCAAAGAGGGGCAGAGAGCCCCAAAGGTGCATCTTCGCCAAGAATTTCTCAAACTAAAAATATGAAACAGACTCAACTGCCTTCAGGCCGAACAGGGGTAGAGAACCCCACAGATTGGCTAAAGCCATTCGATACCGAATGGACTTGGCGAGCCATCAAGGATGCCAAAAATGAAGCAGCAGTGAAGGCTGTACTCAAGAACTGGGTACACAAGTCCTGGGCCAAGGAAATAATTGATGATATGATCGCCGGCATGCGAGTGGCAGAATGATGCCATGCTCTGGAATGGCTCGATGAATTACATGGACCATGAAAATTCATCTGAAGAGCCAAGTCCACAGGAAACGATTCACTAACCAAGGCACAGATCGAGATGTTAACATCTCGATCAACCCATGCAGTCACTGCCTTGATTGACAGTGGCTGCACAGGGAGTAGCATCAATCGAGCTTTTGTCAACAAGCATCAATTACCCACTCAGGCAACAGCAGCCCCCATCCCTGTCTATAACACAGACAGAACAAGGAACCAAGCCAGGATGATCACTGAATACATAGAGCTTAGACTCACTATCAGTGATCATTCTGAACGAATTGATTTAGCAGTAACTGACCTAGGAACAAGAGAAGTGTTTCTTGGTCATGATTGACTGATCAGACACAATCTGCTGATCAATTGAAAGACCGGTTGAATCATATTTGCTTGATGTCATTGCTGGAGAATTCCATTCGAACTACTGGATGAAGATCCCGAAGACCGATGGGATGAAGAAATGGAAGACGGTGAAATGATCCTTGCTGTCGACCTACAAAGGGCCATTAGCATTCAGGCGGTACATCATGTGAATGACCTAGCAGCAAAAGCCAATGCCAGTAAAGGGGAAAAGACATTCGAGGAAATGGTACCTGAATGGGCATGCGACTATTGGGATTTATTTGAAAAGGAAAGTTTCGACAAACTACCCAATATGAAGCCCTGGGACCATGCCATCGAATTAATCCCCAATGCCAATGCTAACCTGGATTGTAAATGCTATCCACTAGGCAACAATGAACAACAAGAGCTAGACAAGTTTCTTGAAGAGAACTTATCCAGCAGACAGATTCAACTATCAAAGTCACCGATGGCATCACCCTTCTTTTTCATCAAAAAGAAGGATGGGAAACTCTGACCGGTGCAAGATTACCAGAAGCTCAATGAGATGACGATCAAAAACCATTATCTGCTTCCTTTAATCTCAGAATTGATGGACAAACTCCAGGGTGCAAAATATTACATCAAACTGGACGTTCAGTGGGGATACAATAATGTACACATCAGGGAAGGCAATGAATGGAAGGCTGCTTTTTGAACTAACCATGGTTTGTTCAAACTGATGGTCATGTTCTTCAGACTAACTAATTCACCAGCCACCTTCCAGTGGATGATGAATGACATCTTCAAGGACCTCATTGCCACAGGGAACGTCATGATCTACTTGGATGATATACTCATTATGTCCAAAACCAAGGAAGAACACAGAAGGTTGGTATGTCAGGTACTATCCCTGATGAGAAAGCATCGATTCTTCCTCAAGGCCGAAAAATGTGAATTTGAGGTATTAGAAACAGAATACCTCGGAGTCATTATCAGTGAAGGAAGCATCAGGATAGACCTGATCAAAGTCGCAGGAGTAACCAAATGGCTGAAACTGACCAAGAAGAGGGAGTTACAATCATTCCTCGGATTCACCAACTTCTACCACCGGTTCATCTGGGATTACAGCAAAATAGTCTGACCAATGACGCAATTAACTGGAAATTCCCCACAGAGCTGGGAAATTTCCCAATGGGCAGCATTTGATAACCTAAAATGTTGACTAGCTGAAGATGTCATCCTGGCTATACCAAGTCAGGATGAAAGGTTCAGAGTGGAAGCCAACTCCAGTGAAAGCACCATTGGAGCCATGCTATTGCAAGAACAAGATGGCAAATGGTGACCTGTCACCTTCATGTCAAAGATGCTCACAGTAACTGAGTGCAACTACGAAATCTATGACAAAGAACTCCTCGCCATAATGCTTGCCCTTGCTGAATGGTGACATTATCTCATTGGAGCCAATCATACCTTCGAGATCTGGACTGATCACCAAAACCTTCGATATTTCCGACAACCCCAGAAGCTTAATCGCAGACAAGCCAGATGGGTCATGGAACTGTTGGAGTATGAATATACACTCCATTACAAGGCTGGAGTAGCAAACAAGAAGGCCGATTTCCTCAGCTGCAGGGCAGACTATAACCAAGGAGAAGACGACAACAAGGAGGTCATGTTACTACAGCCAGAGCACTTTCAGGCAATGATCATACCCATGGAAGAAGAAATGCACGAATGCATCAAAAGTGCCACTCAAGATCCTCACAAGTGAGATCAAAGAATTGCCCCATCACTCAACCACAAGCGAGGGCTGAAGAAGGAAGAGGGACTGATCCATTATGATGAATGGATCTACATCCTAAGGGATCAACGATTGCAAGGAGATATCATCGCTACATGTCATGATCATGCGACTGCCAGACATCCCAGGATCGCTAAGACTAAGGAGCTGGTCTTGAGGAATTATTGGTGGCTGAAAATGGACCATGATATCATCTGATATGTCAAAGCTTGCAAGGTTTGCCAATGAGGCAAAACTTCAATACAACCCAGAGCTGTGCCACTCCACCCGAATGAGGTCCCTTCATCACCATGGACCCACATTTCAGTGGATATGATAACCAGACTTCCCAAGAGTGATGGCTATGATACTATTATCATCATCATCAATCACTTCTCAAAGGCGATCATTCTGATTGCCTGTTCCACAGAATTGACATCCGAGGGATGGGCAAAGATACTATGGGACGAGGTTTATGCAAAATATGGCATGCCTCAAGTAGTGATTTCAGACAGAGGGCCACAATTCATTTCCAAATTCTTAGACAATTTGTACCGACTCCTCAACATCAAGAGGAATGCCTCAATGGCATATCACCCACAGACGGACGGCCAAATAGAATGGGCCAACCAGGAAATTGAAAAGTACTTGCGACTTTTCATCAGCTATCGACAGGACAACTGGATGGAATGGCTAGCATTAGCCACATTCCAATATAACAACAAAATTCACACAGCAACAGGTAAAACACTGTTCTTTGTGAATTATGGATGGAGCCCACCAGTTGTGCAAATGGGACGGGTCCACACAACAACACCTGCTTCAATGGACTTTGCAACAACAATAACAAAGATCCATGAGAAAACGAAGATGGCCCTCGAAAAAGCTGCTTTAACAATGACGAAGCAATACAACAAACATCGGCGACCCTCACATGAATATTCACCAAATGACAAGGTTTGGTTGGATACAACAAATCTGCATTTACCAAGGCCAAAACAGAAACTAGCAGACAAATGAACAGGTCCATTCAAAGTCATCGCCAAAATTGGCAAATCCACATACAAGTTGCAACTGCCAACGACCTGGAGGATCCATAATGTTTTCAATGAAACATTACTAACTCCATACATGGCACCAGCCTTTCCAAACCAAGAAAAACCACTCCTGCCACCAGCAGAACTCATCGATGATGAAGAACATTATGAAATCGATGAAGTACGAAACCACAAAACCCAAAGGGTCAAAGCATGAGGTGGAGGCATGAAAACAACTGTTGACTACTTAGTCAGCTGGAAGGGCTATGGACCGGAGTCAAACCAATGAGTTAATGAAAAATATATGAATGCAGACGATGCTATTTGAGACTACGAACACAGAATCAACAAAGTGGACGTCAAGGCGGTCATGTTCAACATTATATCTGCCAAACATGAAATGGCAATAAAAGGAAGGAAGATGATATCTAGCCAGATATACATCAACTGACCTGCTGACAGCAGAGGCCAAGTAGGAGACGACGATGAAGATAGCAGTGTGCCAAATGATCCATGAATGGCCAACAGCCAAACAATAATGGATCTAGCAGATCAGCCACCTCCTTCCAGAAAGGAGGGTTTTTTACCCTAACTTAACCATCGGGATGATGGTCTTAAGGAGGGGGTAATATTACAATTTTTCCTATTTTCTCTCTATTTTCCTTCTTTTTTTCTCCTTTCTCTCAGGAAATGACCCCTATCTTTGCTTAGTCAAGGCACTTAGGCTGGTGCTTAGGACCATGGGAAAGCTTGGTCAGCAACCCAGTCAGTCATTATCTTATCGAATGGCTGTGTGCTGTGAAGGGAGAGACAATACTCCTTTTGTCACTAAACAGCAGTAACAGCAATGACAACAGTCTGCCAGACAACAGCCTTTGTGGAGAGCCTGGCAACAGCAGGGGTAACAGCTCTACGACAGACAACAGCTTTTTGTGAATATTTATTTATAGCACAATAACAGAACAGTATATAAGTAGTATAGCTCTCGCTGTAATACCTCAGCTTCAAGCTAAAGTTTATTCTCTACCATCCTATCTTGAGCAACTTGCAAATGCCTTGGTCACACACCTCTGTTAACACATCAGTGAACTCAGTTGGACATACCCGAAGTGCGAGGTACCAAACTGTTTATCACATGTTAATAGTCACATGGAGTTTGGGCTTAACACACACAGGACTGAGTCCTGAGCTTTCTTGACACTGAGATATCCAACTGAGTTGTCCACACATGTACCTGCTTACTTGCTGCTTCTCAATGGTATGCTGGTCCAGTTTGAGCATGTACATGTCATACTTATGTAAGAATTCTCATATCTGATGACTTATCAGGCACAGATGCTGTTCTTATGCTGTTTCTTGCTTTCTTTTCTCCACTTCATTTTCTCAACATATCCCATGCTGTTTCTCTAGCTTTCCTCACTATAATGACCTTTGTCTCTTTACTCACTATCTCTATGGCCACTCTTATGGCTAATCTCATTGGTGCTCATGCCTTCATAGCTGCATACTTTGATTCTTCTGTAGCAGATATCATGGAGCTCCAGAACCTTATTGTTGCTGTTAACCAGGCCATTCCTTACTTGGTGCATGCTTGTTTCTAGCTTGTTAGCTTGCTGTTCAGGCATACTTTGCCTCTATAGGCAGCTTATCATGCTAGTCTCATGTATTTCAATCTGTGTAACTCCCATTACAGTATGCCTTTCTATCTGGAGCTTGCTAAGATTGTTCAGTGTATTTTTATCTATCTCCAATCTAAGGAGTGGAAAGCCTCAATGCTTATGAAGGTGGAGCATAACAATTTCCCAGTATATCCCCTTATCCTCCAGCCTACTTCTCTCATTTATATTTCTCTCCTGCTAGTGGGATTATAATGCTTCTCTTCTCCTGTCTGAGGAGCCAGATTATAAAAATGGGAATCTATCCTCTATTCTCTATCAGCTCCTGCTCTCTTTGCATGCTATCTCTGCTCTCTCTGCTCCAGTGGTCATTGGTCCTACTGTCTTAGCCCCCAAGATCATGGAATCTGAGGCTAGCTCATCTGAGTGAGTTCTGATCTTTGTTGCTCTTCTGTATCTCAGTTAGCTCATACTATTATCCTACTTCTAGAGTCTCCTAGCCAATGCCTATCAGAATCTCTCAGGTTTCAAGAGAGCCTAGTAAGTTGCATTCTGTCTCTCTTCTTCTTACTATAGCTTCTTTTTATTTCCAGGTTTCTCCTCTGTTACTAAAAATACTGTCTCTGTGGTTTTTTCAGCCATTAGTTCTAGCTCAATAGGTTATCCTTTTCATATCTGGCCTTTCACTTTCTCATTGTCTTCCTCTTTGCAGAGGATCACAGTGGCTTGCAAACATCAGCAGGGGACAGAAATCTTGGCTCCTGTAAGACAATCTTTCTTATTCCTCTTTGCCTCTGCTCATTCTCTTCTCTTATCTTCTAGACTGTACCTGACCCTGTCTCTAAAAGAGCCAAGCTTATCCTGTATATTGTTTATATCATCTTTAGTCATATTCCTCTTATTTTCTGTTTCTCTGGGTGTAGCTAGCTTATCTTAGTCTCATGCACAGCCTTTAGTATCTCTTACCTCAGTTTCTCAGACTGCCTTCTCATAGAAGCCCATTTCTGATTCTCTTGAATTTCCTGTCCTATCTGGTGTATTCTTCCATTCTTTTACTATAGTTTTTCTCTATTCTCTGATTGATATTGTCCTCCAGCTCTCTCTCTTGATCATGATACCAGTCCTCCTTCTGCTGTAGAGAGCAATAGGCCTGCTGGCTCTTTTCTATGCTCAGTCAGTATCCCTGATTCTGCTAGTGAGAGGCCTGAGGGTGCTTCCATGAAGATCATCCCTTTGGCTCTGAACTATCAGTTATCTCTCTCTCCTCATGTGTATCATTCCCTGACCAGTGAGCCTCTCTCTGGTATCACTTATTTTATCTTTTCAGCCTCTCCTAAATCTGCTTCTCCTTCTCTTATATGTGCATCTTTTTTCTAGTGCAATGGGATGACTATTCTGGTGGCCTCTAGGATGCCTCCTCACTCTTAGTGCATGTCAAAGTCTATTCCTATGATTTCTAAGCCTCCTACCAACATGACTGCAAGGGAGACTGTTGACTGCACTATTTATGCATATGCTTTTCACTCAGCCATTGATCTCCAGTTCTACAAACCTCTTTCCTGTCAGGTCTTAGAATCCATGAAGCTTTCCATGCTTCCTGTTGCCTCTGACTCTTTGACTAAGTGAGTCCTTTCTCTCTGTTTTTCATCCACATTCTGATTGTATTTTCTTCACAGACCATCTGCACAATTGCACAGTAGCTGAAAATACATTTACCATTGCTATTCTGATAAAAATCCTTATTTCATCCATCTTCCTCTGATATGTGTGTCTTTTCTGTTCCTCATTCTTATTCTTATTTTCTTGCTCACTAGCTTTCCTGGCCATGCCTTAACTGCACTTTGGCTGGTTTCCCTGAGGAGTGCATTTTTGAGGGTGGAGTTAGTGAGGAGATCTGAATATGCTGTAGATCCACTTGTTATGGCCACTGCTCTATATGCTGAAATGCCAATCAGCTCCATTGTGCCACTATCTTATTGGACTCTCTTATTCTCAGTGGTGACAGTGATATGTCTTTTCAGATCTTTGTTTATTTTTGCTCTGCCTGATTGTCTTTCTCTTAGCTATTCATTATGGCATTGACTGTATCAAGCATATCCAGATTGAGATCAAGCTACTCATAAGGTCCCTTTAGTTCTTGTATGAGAACTGGCAGTAGGTTGTAGGTGAGCTTACTGATGGTCTTGATGCTATTGCTTCTTGTGAGTATGGTACTGAGATTATCAAAGCTTATGTGCAAGTCTCTGATCTCCTCAAATCTTTCTTGATATATCCTAGTTCTATGGATGCATCTATTGATGGAGATGCTATGATGTCTAGTTCTGACACTGATTAAAGGCCAGTACCTCTCTTAACACATCTTGAATGCTTGTACTTCTCTCTGTTTCCTTTCTTTACACTATGTTTTTTTGCAGATATTCTTCTTTATTTATAGCAGCACTCAGGGTCTTTAGATGCAGCTAATAGTAGCACTCTGTTCATAGCTCATTGTCATGTTATGTGCTCTTTTTCTTGTGGGCCTATAGAGCTCTGGTATACCAATATACCTTTTTTGTTGCACTCTTTTTGATTTCAGCTGAGTCTAAGTTTCATATTTCAATCTCAATCTATTTGACTTATGAGAGCTCTGGTTACTATGTTAGGCTCATACCTGAGTCCCATGCATCAGTATTCTTTATTCATTATTTCTTCTTTTCTGTCATTTCATAAGCTGTCCTATTGCTCTCTTCTAATCTATTTTTCTTATTTTCTTGATGGAATATTGGTATTATTGCATGTTGACTCTCCTTTAACTGTCTGGATCTGTTACTGCTATCAATAATTTGATTTTTTGTCATTATTTCATTATTTCTTTTTTATCTCTTTTATTTCTATGCTTAGCAGAGATTGTACAATTACAAAATTTACTGTCTCTGTGTGGTTAATATAATTATGGTAATACCCTAGGTATACCACTATATTCCTCACACCAAAAGCATCTAACTGTCCTCAGTTATAATTCAAATGACAATTTATTTATTTTATAAGGCTAGATCAGGTTTCTGAGTCTCACACATGTCAAATGTTAGTTTTCTGACCTTGACACCCTTAATGTTTGTCCTTTCTTGCAGAATTTCTTTTTTTATTATTATTTTCCTAATCAAATATTATTATCACATGAGTATAAAGGTTGAGAGTTTTTCATCTTGTTTTGACTCTACTCACCATCTCTCTTATTGTCTTCATTGTTACTTGTCTATTTCTTCTCTGCTCTCTATCAAAATGATTCCTACTTTTATTGTTGTGAAGGCTGTTATTATATCTCTCTGCAAGAATCCTGCTACTACTGCAAATGATTATTTTAGTCAACTCTAGGAGTATACCATATGTGTTTGTGCCTTATTCACTATTGTTTTACTGACTTCTACATGATAGTCTCATCTTGAGTATTATAAAAGCAAGCTCACTAGAGATAAAGACCTCAAGGAGTCAGTTTTTTGTGCTCATACTGCTATTGAAAAGGAATTCTATATCAATGCTTTCAAGCAGCCCATCTATAGAATGCTCAAGACCATCACTGGGTGGATTCAAAATAAGTGAGGTCAGCTTGCCAATGGTGAGGTAGGTGCTCCTTCCATTCCTACTAGCTCTCATCATGACCCTAAGTCAGTTCATAATTCTTTTCTCTGTCTAATAGTTTCTCTGACTGATTTTCTTCTGCTAGGCTGGCATTATTGCATGCAATAAGGGCAAAGGCCATGCTATTCATCATTCTTATGCCACTGTTGATACCAAGTCTGATAAAGATGAGGATGATCCAGATAAGGTAGCCACTCATTCCAATTCTGATACTGAGTCTATTAAAGTATGCCTAGTCTTCATAATCTCTGCTTGACTATCTGACCTCCAATCTCCTCAAGATAGTCATTGATGAGGAGGCTTTCAGGACTGAGCAGTTTTTGAAGTTTTTCAAGGCTAAGTCTAGCAATGTGATTACTGGAGACAAGCATAAGGAACTCTACAAGGTCAGAGTCTTTGTGCATTATCAATATCCTCTCTCACTAAGAGATTGTAATTCTAAGAGGAGCTATCTTCCTGTGTGCATTGTGATGCCAATAGTCATTCTTTTGCTGCTTGCCCCAACAAAGGTCAGATATGTTGTCTTCTTTTTTTGCCTACCACTTGTGTTTTTGACCAGGCAACTTCCTAAAGATTTATCAGCAAAGACAATGCTTATGCTTGCAAGTGTGCTAAGCCATCATTTCTGCTTCTATCAGCCTGAGAGTATTTCTATCATAGTTCTCATGGGATCAGAGAGTGGTGCCCTGCCTCAGCTCTTGGACTTGTTAGTGCCTGTATGTATCTCTTTTTCATTGCTTATTATATCATTTCTTAATTGTGCTCTTTATATTTTCAGTTGCTGATGATGAGAGAGCTGCTTCTAGTGTCAATGCTTTGCATGAGAGTTATAAAGGATCAGCTATAGGTTGTTTCATAGTGGAGAGACCTGAGTATCTGGCCAAACTTGAAAGTGCCCTCATAGGTGATGTTCTTGTGCTCCAGCACACTCTATACACTGCTGAGAAACAGCATGCTTTTCTCCTTGATGAACTTGAGTGTGTCCAGTCTACCCTTCATCCCTTGGTTCCAGCACCAGCAGACTCTGGAGATCCCACTTCTGTGGAGACCAAGACTCCTCCTGCTCCTTCCATCTTATCTAATGTGGAGCTTCCATCTGCCTGATCTCAGGTCAGTGGTACTTGACATCTATGATACTCATCCATCATCTGGTCATCTCTTACTGATTTATCATGATCTCTTATTCTCCTTTTCTATCTTTGACTCTGATATAGCACTCTTTTGAATCTTCTCACATTGCAAGTACAGTAGCTAGTGCTGTACATTCTGTCATTACTTAGTAATTATATGCTCACAGAAGGCATTTCTGCATCATGTGCTAATCCTCATCTAAGTTAACTGTGTCTGAAACCTTTGGATTTGGTGATTCTTTGAACTCTTCAGTGAAGTTCAATAGCTATCTGTCTTTTGGTTCTGGCATGTTTATTATTCTTTGCAATTCCTGTGAATCTTTGTACAGCCAATGCATGACCTTATCATCAATTTCTATAGAATTGTGTGTGAGGTATGGGATCACATGAAATGCTGCAATCTTTAAACCAATTAATGTGCTATCTAGTTCTGTCAGGATGTAGTTTCCTGCACTTGAGCAGTCCAGTACAACTAAAGGACCTAAATACCTTGGTTTCATCTTTGTATTCAGTGCACTCTCAATCTGTGTATTGCACATTAAAACTAAGTCCCCTCATTTGAAGTTATAGGACTTAATTTATTTGTATGTATTATTGCATATTTTAATGTATCTTGTTTCTTTTTCTCATCTATATTATTGTGCATTTCTGCTACCTTATCTGCATGTTTCTCTAGTGCTATTGCATGCAATCTATGGAGTTCCCAATTCTCTATAATTCTCTCTGAATACTCAACTAGCCATGTCACTTCTAGCACATTAAGTGGTAATATTGGATGTGCACCAGTAACTGCAAAGAAGGAAGAGCATCCCATCTGTTTTCTAACAGTGATTCTGTCAGCCCACATCACTAGGATGAAGTAATAATACCACTTTTTCTCATTTCCTCCACATGCTTTGAATAAGCTCTGCCATACATTCCAGTGCAGTTGTTCTATTCTTCTATTGGCCTGTAAGTTGTATGGAGATATTCTTATCTCTTTTATACCATATTTCTATTCCAAATATGCTACTATGGCTTTAAATTGCTTGCCATTATCTATTATTATCAAGAAAATACAACCTCTCTGGTATATGATATCTTCAAATAACCACTCTGCAATTGCCTGCACAGTTTCACTCACTGAGGTTTGTCCTTCCATCTAGCTAGTTAGCATGCAATACTCATACATAATATACTTATGATAGTTTGATGCCTCTGGCATATGCATTGTGTCTGCATATAATATTTGGAAGATTGATAGTGTAAAGATCACTGTTGGAGGTACCTTAATAATGGTCTTCTGGTGCTCCTGGCATATGTTGCAAGTGCAAACAAATCATGAAATATCATGCTCCATCTCTGGCCACCAAAATCTCTCTTTAATCAATATTTTTGTTACATATATACTGTTACGATTTCTCCTTCTTTTTTCTTTATCCCCCTATTTATGCTTAGTCATGAAGGCACAAGACCATGGGAAGGCATAGCCACAATAACCCGCCGCCCAACAAACAAAGAGCAGGAACACACAATTGCCCTTTTATGTATGGTAACGATGCGCAAGGACAACGGGCACCATGGACACAGACACGCATAATAGGTAGCGATATAATTAGGACGATAGCACAGTATTTAAGGAGTAGCGCTCTTGCTGGAAAACCCCAGCTTCAAGCTAAAGTTTATATTCATACCATTCTACTCTCGAGCCACTTTGTGGCCTTGTGACACACCGAGTCGATAACATCATAAGTGGATTCAGGAGATTCCTCGAAGTGCGAAGGAACACCTGTCTATCACATGTTGTCTTGTCACGTGTCGCTTGGGCTTAACAATTAGCTCGAAGCTTCTACCTTCCCTTTTTCAAGCCCAATTGTGCTGAGAAACCGAATGCCACCAGCAACCACTGCAGACCTGAATCACGACTTCTTCGAGTTAATAGCTTCTATCATTGGAACATTACTCGGTCTCTTAGCC